ACGAAGTACACTGCTGAGGGGAGCAGCGGGCTGGTCAGGAGAGGTCTGCCATGCCATGTGGTCATCTCCGGGGCGGGCGGGGATCGAACTCATGAGGAAGCGGCTTCAGATTCTCAGTGCTGTGCTTTAACCCGCTGCGCCACCAGGGAGGGCCCCTAAACAGTTAAATTTTTAAAATGAGACTTAAACTTGCCTCCCTGGTGGCACAAAGAGTTAAAGCACAGCACTATGAAGATATCATAGCCACTGCAGCACAAGTTGGATCCCCCGCTAGGGAGCTGACCCACATGGCACAGCAGACCTCTCTTGACCTACCCACTGCTCCCCTCAGCAGTGTAGTTCAGTCCATCTGCCTGTTCTACTCCCCACTCTGTCTCTGATGAATCCTCCATGTCCCTCCCTGCCCCCCGGCTGTTCCCCAGTTCTGTATGCATAAATAAATAAATCTTAAAAATGCGACTTTGGGAGAACTGAATTTAGAAAATTCTAATCTCAGATGCCATCAAATCTCAGATGCCAGCTTTCACAATCTGTGTCAACTAGGTAACCAGGTTCCTTCAACAACAAACAGAGATAATCCCTGTCCTACTTACCCTGGAGGGTTTTGAGAGTCTAAGAAAGTGGGTATGACCACAAATCCTCAATAGTAGTGATGTATGAAAATGAGTAACATATGAATGTCTGGAAATAACATCATTTACCACATAAACCAGTCACTCTAAAAAGTCCCCTTTAAATCCTACTTTCTTAAATTCCCACAGAATTTTAATGTACCTCAGTTTCCTTGTTTGTCAAATGAAAATAATCTCTTTCATCGCATGAAATTTTCAGAATTCTTTAAGCATTTTAACTAATTTTAAATATTATCGCTATTATTGGTAATTAAAAATGTAAAATCCTAAATACCTTTCACAATCCCAATTACATTCCTATTAACCCCCTCCACAGCCCCCCTATAGAGCCCTGTCTTGTTAAAACAAAGAAAAATTAAAACACAGTGGTGACTAAATAAATGTATATGCCTCTTCATCAGTTACAGAATAGTGGTACAGTAAGAACAGAAATGCCACACCCCAGATCCTAGTTACAAAGATACCCTACATGGAATCTGGCATATAGTAGACAGTCAAATATAAGTATGTGATCAAATAAATTGAGGACTAAGGCTGCCTTCTCAGGTTATGAACTCATTTGATCCATTCTGAGAAGCCAAAGACCACTGTGAGAAAGAGCATTTTTATGCTCAAAAGATAATTAATAGGCCCTCCCTGGTGGCGCAGCAGGTAAAGCACAGCACTAAGAAGCTGAAACCACTTCCGCATGAGTTCGATTCCCGCCTGCCCCGGATGTGACCACATGGCACGGCAGACCTCTCCTGGCCCGCCCGCTGCTCCCCTCAGCAGTATACTTCTGATCTGCCTGTTCTGCTCCCTACTCTGTCTCTGGTGAAGCCTTTTGCCACCCCTAAGTCTCTGGCCTGTACCCCAGTTCTGCATGCACAAATAAATAAATCTTAAAAAAAAAAGATAATTAATAGAATTTAAAGAAAAACTTTTAGTTTCAACCAGATTGAAAGATATGGGTTCACTCTTGTTCATCCACAGTCTTAAAACTTCATGGGAACTATATGCGGGAGAACAAATCAAATTTCAGTTCATAAACTATTTAAATTTTTCTGTAACAAAAAGAGTATAACCTGAATTGAGCGAATGCTTCGTTTCCATAAAGCATATATTCCTATTGTCAACAACATTAAAAAGAAAACCCCCACGATAACTTGCACAGTTGGAGCAAGATTATCTAGTAGCCGGGAATTAGTTTGCTGAGGTTCACCAGTCTCTCCCATTAAAGTTGACTGCAGCCAATTCCATATTGTGCTCCGATAGAGAATTTCTAAGATGTGGTCCGTGAGAGAAGGTGATGGTGAAGATGTTGACATTTTAGTCAGGCAGCAACTCTAGGAACTACATGTGCGGAGGATTCAGGAACCTACATATGAGGAAAGGAAAGTGGCCTGGGAGCTGAATCGTTCTAGAGCATTGTGAGTTGTGCTTTATGATGTCATTGTTTCAAAGGTCAGTTTGCTTCCCACTCATTCAGTGCAGTTTCTCACTCAAAACCAGCCCAACACTGGCCCAGGCTTTCAGTTGTCATATTACTTTCTCTAATCTTTGGAAAGTCCTAGTTTTAGAACAGCACTATCCAATAGGGCCTTTTGTGATGATGGAACTATTCTGTATCTTACTATGTGCAGTTTGGCCAAAAAGCTGAATTTTACATTTTATTGAATTTTAATAAAATTTAAGGGCCATATGTGGCTTGTGATTACTCTCTTAGTATTCCATCGTTACTTTTCTAACAATTCATAAGATGAAAAGCAATTGTTTTTACATGACAAGTAAGAAAACTGAGGTTAAGTGGAATTTCAGGAAATGGGACTCACAGGGGTGGCTTTCTAGAGCAAATGTGGAGGAAAACTGGATCATTTTGTAGCATTTTTTTCACTATCACTACTGTTTAGAAATTGTGATCTTTGTTTCTGTTTTGAACATATTTAAGCCTTTGTTCCTGTTTACAGATAGGGATTCAGCCCCTTCACAAAGTTTGTAGTGTAGAAGGGACAGTAAGGAGCAACCTCTGAGCCAGTGGGTGGCACCTATAGCCCATTTGATGGTAAAAAGTGGAGTTTTCCAGAATACACTCCAAGTGAGGGTTGATGGGCAAAGGGAGTAGCTGGGGCTTTGGCAGTTAAGCCGAAGGAGGGGAAGGGTGTCTGTGGATAAAGTGATGGCTTGTCACATGTGCCTTCAGCTTAGACACTAGCCTCTGCTTGGTGGACGCTCTATGTTATGCTGTACACAAACATTACTTCAAATGGTATAATTTCTAAGCACATTGCAAATTGTAGCATGTTGTATAACCTCTACAACATATTATCAAATAAATTATTTACTGATTAGTATGTCTCTACTTAGCAAAGTCATGGAAATATATCATCTTTCCCAAAAATCTTAAATTAAAAAGGAAGTTTTTACACTAGTGTATAATCTAAACTGTGAGATGAGTTATAAAAAGAGCAAGAATCCAAAGGGGTCTTCACCAAGAAGGAAGAAGCAAAATTAATAAAGGATGAGTTAAGATTAAAAAATATAAATTAGAAAAATAGTGTTAGTCCAATTTGTTCATTCTGGCTAGAAATACAGATTAGGGATCTTTGGTGGAGAAGTAATGACTGTTCTTGCAACAAGAAAAGGTATGGCAAGTTGCCTGACACATTCAGGAAATGGAGTGTAAAGTGCTCTTGAAAATACAGTGCTATGTCAGCGTGAAATGATCTAATGACTTAGGACTAATTTTTTTTTTAAAAAAGAATTACGGCCCTCCCTGGTGGTGTAGCGGGTTAAAGCACAGCATTAAGAAGCTAATGCAACTTTCGCATGAGTTTGATCCCCGCCTGCCCCGGAGGTGACCACTTGGGTGGCAGACCTCTCCTGATCCGCCTGCTGCTCCCCTCAGCAGTGTACTTCGTCAGTCAGCCTGTTCTGCTCCCCACTCTGTCTCTGGTGAATCCTCTCACCACCCCTGAACCTATGGCCTGTACCCCAGTTCTGTATGCATAAACAAATCTTAAAAAAAAATTACTTGTTTATGCTTACAGAACTGGGGTACAGGCCAGAGGTATGGTGGGTGAATGGATTAACCAGAGACATAGTGGAGAGCAGAACAGGCAGACTGACAAAGTACACTGCTGAGGGTAGCAGTGGGTGAGTCAGAAGCGTGCCATGCCATGTGTGTCAGCTCCCTGGCTGGGGATTGAACTCATGCTCCAGTGGCTTCAGAGAGGTTCATAATGCATTGCTTTAACCCACTGCATCACCAGAGAGCACCCAGGAGTGACATTTTTTTTTTTAAAGATTTATTTATTTATTTGTGCATACAGAAGTGGGGTACAGGCCAGAGGCTCAGGGGCGGTGAGAGGCTTCACCAGAGACAGAGTGGGGAGCAGAACAGGCAGATCTACGAAGTACACTGCTGAGGGGAGCAGCGGGCGGGTCAGGAGAGGTCTGGCTCGCCATGTGGTCTCCTCCGGGGCAGGCGGCAGGCGGGAATCGAACTCATGCGGAAGTGGCTTCAGATTCTCAGTACTGTGCTTTAACCCGCTGCGCCACCAGGGAGGGCCAGGAGTGACATTTTTAATGTGAAACTTCTAGTCTGCTAGTGACTAAGTCACTTAGTTAAAACTTGGAATTTGATTGTGACAGGTTAAATGTAGATAAGAAGTTTAAAGAATGGTAACCAGAAACTTTTGGAGAAAAGTAGGGCTGTGACCACGATTCATTACTCAAAACTCCTGACACTAGCTTAGATCTCCCTGTTACATGGCACCTTCTGCTTTACTTTCAAAGCACTTAGCACATTGTTATTTGTACAGCTTTTTTGGGGGCAGGGTTTTGTCTTCCAAAACTCAAGAAAGGCAGGAGTCATGTACATTTTATGGGCACACAGCAGGTATCTATTTTAAAAGAATACAGAATTCCAAATATCTTTATAGCCCAACCTGTTCATTAATCAATTGACTATTATAATTGTGTACTTGGTTGTGCAGAGGATTTACAGAGTAGCTGTTAAGAGGATAGGTCTTTGGGTTCAATTTTGATTCGACTATTTACTAACCTTGTGATCTTGGGCAAGTTACTTGAGATGCAGTATCCTCATTTGTAAAGTAGGAGTAATTCCTACCCTGTAGAGTTGTAATGAGAATTTGATTAATTTGTGTTACAAAAACTATGCCACACACTATTAGTAGTAACATTTATAGTACAACACAATGTATTGTAAATCTCCTTAGTGTAAGATGCCTCAGAGGGGATCTAGTCCCCAAAATCCGTATTTGACTCCCCACTTGGATTCCTGGCCATCTACAATGATAAAATTGTCAATGTATAGACAGCATCTCAGCCCAGCTATAGTAGCATTCATTCACCCATCTAGTTACTTCCACTGAGTAATCATTCTTGCATATCCTATTAGATTTTTTTTTTAATGCATTGCAGCTAAGATTGTTGCAATACAACTTTCGGGTTTTCCAAAGGGTCTTACTGCCTTTCAAAATCTAAAATCTAGAACATGGAACATGGTTCCAAGTCATGAAAATACCTGGTTTCCGCTTATCTAACGTTCTTTCCCTTACTGTTTATCCTTCCCATTTGGCTACAAACTTGTCAACATCACTAAACCTCTAAATTGTTGCACCACAAACCTTCAAATGTAACTGGATTAACCTTTCTTTAATTCTTGATTCTTCAGGTTGCCAGTGTAAACATCGCTTCCTTAAGGACGTTTTCCTGTTCTTTTTTGGTTCCCATCACAAGGTTACTTTGGTTGCACTTTCAACTAGTAATTTGTGGTGTTTAATATCTACCTTTGTTACTAGCCTCTAATCTCTATGATGCCTGCAGGAACTTACCATGCCATGTTCAACTCTTTACCCTGGGAGTTAGTAGATGGTACATCCTTAGTAAATATTTGGCTAGTGCTTCCTGTGCATCCTGACTTCTGTTTCTTGTGATAAAACCTGACTATCCTGGTTGTGTTCCTCAAGTGTTTCAGACCTCCAAATGCAGTCAGTCACAGAACCTACCCTGCAGATGTAAAACAAGCATGTCAACAGTACAGTGGATCATTTATTCTAGGCTGTTTTACATACTAGGAGGCTTTGCCTCTTAAAGCAAGGAGTTAACTCTAAGGATCAGAGTTGAGGGGAGTAATACTTTGTAACATTTAGAAACTTCAGATAGAAAAAGGAAAAAAAAAACTTTTCTCACAGTGCACATAGTAGTCACACAAGACAGTGTGCATGTTTTCCATCATCCCTCAAATGAGGACATGTCATCACTGGATATATGACTGGAGTTAGATCTGCATGAACTCAAACATTCACAAACAGTGCACTCAAGTTTAATTACAGAACTGTGGTATTTTTAGTACTTTAAATATCTCCATCTTTTTACTTCCAGGGTAAGTTCCTCTTCCTGACACCCTTTCTAGTCAGAAGATGGGGAAATGGGCTCTACTCCTTAGTTTTGTCAGAAAGACAAGTCACTTCATTTCTAACTTGAGTTTTTATGTAAATACCTATTTTATAGAGCTATGAAAAATCAAGTTTTAGTCTTTTAAAAAATGTAACTAATTTGGGGTCTTCCGGGTGTCATAGCATTATGAAGCTATCACCTGCCACTGTAGCACGAGTTCGATCCCTGGCCAGGGAGTGACCCACATGTGCAGCAGACCTCTCCTGTCTCACCCATTGCTCCCCTCAGCAGTGTTTCAGTTCATCTGCCTGTTCTGCTCCCCACTTTCTCTGATGAATTCTTTCTCTCCCACCCCTTCTGCTACACCTTTGGCCTGTACATATTTTTAAAAAATGTTAACTACTTTGAATTCTCACAGCATTTCCCACTTTAAATGCTAGGTCACTGCTTATAGAGCATTTTTGTGCCTATAAAACATCCTAAGATCTTACTAATATATAGATTTTGGAGAAAATTTGGAGCCTGACATTCTGCATTTGTAACAGATAAGTATCTAGATGATTCCCTTGCTGCTGGCCCATTGCCACATTTTAATGTTTAACCTGCTCCAGTGCTTACATTAAAGATCCATCCATAGATGTCTGGAAAAATTCTAGCTAAGTTAGGGATAGAATCCCAAGGTTAATAAAAAAAAGTCCATTAATTCCTATCCTCTTTTATGTATGTATTTATAAACCTGGAGAAGCATTGAAATGAGAATTTTGGGTAGAGTGCAAGAATAAGTGTCTGGCATTCTCAGATTCTACCCATTACTTTCGGAGGCATCCTTGAATTGAAAAGGCTTTAAAAACAAAGTCAATGCTGCTAAGTCTGTCTCAGGGTTTGCAGACAAATACTCAAGAGACAT